ATGTCTTATTCTTAGTGTTTTTTTATTCCCAGTTCCAAGTTCAATGCAGAGCATATATTAGATAGTCATTAAATAGCAATGAATAAATGAAATGTCATATTAGATGCAGGTCGTTGATGGTATATCCAATCAATTGTAATATGTATAATAATCAAACACTGGTGTCAATGAAAAAGAAAACTCAGGGGCTGATTTAGTTGTTTCTCAGGCAGCCACAGACGTTAAGAACTAAATGGTAGGTAATTTTAGATCATTAAAAACATTAATTCACTTTTCCCAAGAATTGCCAGATCTCATTTCTAACCCCCATGATGGAATATTAAAGTATAGTGATTTTATTAAATGATGAATGAAGCTCAAGAAGAACAGGGGCTGACGCACTTTTAATGAGACTGCTTGCTTAAAAATCTGCTGAGGTTTTTGCAAGAAATTAAATTTCCAGTTTCACGCAAAAAATCAACTCTGTCATGGACATTTACATAGCTATTTTGATGTTTGTTATATACCTTATATACAATGTTATATACCTTCTAGTATGTTTTTATGCTGTTTTATGCTGTTTTATGCTGTTTTTATGTTTTTATAACGGTTCATAAGGTTTCTCCAGGATATTTTGGTATATTTTTCAAATCTTCACAGAAAAGACAAAAACTATTCACAAAACAGGTAAGAACTTGCTAATACTGAAATGATAAACTCCAAAAACTTTTTCACAAAAGCAAACTGAATGGAGAAACAGATAGGAAATCAAGTCAAAATTCAAGGCAAAGAGTATCAGAGTCAAGCCCTTAAATCCAGGAACGGGTCTTAATACGAACCAATGAAGAAGCCAAAAAAAGCTAAGTAGTATCAATATACTGATTTCATGTTCAAGACCAAAAAGGGTAACACAATCCAAGTGTACCTCAGGAAGCACAATGGGAGCAAACACTGGAAACTAAGATTGTTCTGAAAGCTCTAAATATATGGCTATCCTGAATATAAAATCAACATGTTAAGACAACAGAAACTAAGTTAAAAGTCTGCAGTCGGCCTCAGGGGAGCTGACAACAGCAGTCTCTGCTTCCAAATGAGGCCTCCTAGAAAGCGAGAAATCTAGAAAGATTACTCAACCCTTATCACTCATTATCTATATCTAAAAGATTAGCCTTGTCAATCAGACAGTGAAGATAATTTAATTTGTAATAATGAAGACTATTAAGTGGTAAAGACACTAAACAGTTGATCTAAAAGGAACACAAGACTTTAACAACTTAAATTAAATATGCATAAGTTACTTACTTACTGTATAAAATGGGATTCAATTGTACTAAATGGTAACCACCTGACTCAGAGTAATTAATGATGGTAGGAGTAACATTTTCATTTGGCCTTTGGTATGGGCCAGGCATTATGGTACCTCCATTATTTGATGTATTTCTTAGAACAACCCTGCACATATGAGGAAACTAAGGCTCAGAGAGCTTAAATAATTTTTCCAAGATGACACGACTATTCAATGATTATTTAAAAAAAATGAATGTAGGCCAAACTCAGACAGTCCAACAGAAATCAGGACATGTGGTTACTCTAGAAAAAAGGCATCTGTAAACCTAATTTTCATTCTAATGGATATTATGAGAAATTAAATTATGACTTTTTACAGCCAACAAGACTTTAGGAAGACAGGAAACTACTAAAATGGTTGCTTTTATAATTCAATAAAATCATTGTACATGATTACTGCAAATGTAACACTGTTTGGCCTGGAATGATGGACTACATTCTTCATTAAAGGACCACAAAACCTTCCACGACTGCTGTAGGATCGGGGGCCACTCTCTGTCCAGCATCTGCAGTGTTCACAGCCCATGCCATCCATGCTCCATTTTCCTCCACTCTCCTACACTAACCTCCACCTTTTCTCACAAACAAGAAAATAAATATCTAAAAGTAAGGCTAGAACTAAAAACTCCTTAGAGTTCTCCTTCAGAACACAGAATCATAAGTGCTTAATAAATATGTTTCTAAAGAGGAAAGAAAGAAAAAGAGAGAAAGAGAGAGGGGCGGAAGGACAGAAAGAAGGAAAGAAGAGGGAGGGAGGGGTATAGCAAAGAGCAAGAAGTGAGGAGTGAGGTGAGGGGATACAGTAAGGGGGAAAGGAAGGATGGAAAGAAGGGAGGAATGAAGGAGGGAGAAAGGGCTATAGTTTACATTATTAAGAATTCATCTTGAATTGTTAAACCAGTTCTTTAAAAGACAATTTTTCAACACATATTTCTAAGGAGCAAGAATCAGTAATAGTAACTCAGATTTATAGTTAATAGATAATATCAACGTAGTTAATTCTATTCCTTGTTAAGTATTATAAAGATTTAATCTAAAATATAAAAAAATGTAAAGACAGTATAGAATGGCATCAAATCTAATGGAAGAATAATATTTTTTATATTTGCATATCCAATAATATTTGTGAAAACAGAACAAAATTAAGTTTTGTTATTTTAAACTGATCTTGGCAGCTTCAAGTATACTTTCACTCGAGTTAGCAATTATCTTATAATGATAACATGAACTTTTTTATAGTTGTAAATGACTTTTTAAAACTAAATCCTTGTAGGGGCGCCTGGGTGGCGCAGTCGGTTAAGCGGTCTGTGAGTCACGATCTCGCGGTCTGTGAGTTCGAGCCCCGCGTCAGGCTCTGGGCTGATGGCTCAGAGCCTGGAGCCTGTTTCCGATTCTGTGTCTCCCTCTCTCTCTGCCCCTCGCCCGTTCATGCTCTGTCTCTCTCTGTCCCAAAAATAAATAAACGTTGAAAAAAAAATTAAAAAAAAAAAAATAAAACCACCTATGACCATTCATGTACAAGTGTTCCTGTGGACATATATTTTCACTCATCTCAGGTAAATACCTAAGAGTGGAATGGCTGAGTTTTATGATAGGTATATAATTAACTTCATAAGAAAATGCCAACCTGTTTTCCAAAATGATTGTGACATTTTACATTCCCACTAACAGTGTATGAGAGTTCCAACTGTTCTAACACCCACACTAAAGTTTGGTATGATCAGCCTTCTTAACTTTAGCAATTCTATCTAATAGGTACGTAATGATATCTCATTGTAGTTTTCACTAGTATTTCCCTAATGGTTAATGATGTTGACCATCTTTTTATGGGCTCATCTGCCATCTGTGTATCTTCTCTGGCGGTACCAAGTGTCTGTAGAATCTTTTACCTATCTTTTTATTGGGTTGTTGTTTTCTTATTATTGAGTTTAGAGAGTGATTTATATATTTTGGATAGAAATTCTTTATCAGATACATGCTTTGCAAGTATTTTCCCTCAATCTGTGGCTTGTCTTTTTATTCTAACAGTGTCTTTCAATGAGCACATACGTTTAGTCTTAATGGAGTCCAATTTAGCATTTTCTTTCTTTTATAATTTCTGCTTTTGGTGCTTAAGAAATTTATGCCTAACTCAAGGTCACAAAGATTTTCTCCTACATTTAATTTTAAAGACTTAGTTTTCGTTTTTACATTTAGGTTCAGAATCCACTTATAGAACATTTGTATACATAATGCAAAAAAGTTCATGTTTTTTTCATATATACATATATGTATCCACATATATACAAGTGTTTCAGTATAATTTGCTGATATTCTTAATTTTTTTATATTTCAAATCATTATGAGAGGAATAGTATATATCCTACATATATATATATATACATACATTACTACACACAATAATGAAAACTTTTAGTAGGTATTTATATATAAGGCTAGCGAATAAAAGTTTACCTTATATTTCTTTCCTTATCATTCCATGTATCATTCCAAGGAAATTGATTTGAAAATACACAGTAATGAGGTTAAATTAATATCGCCTATGTAAGTACATCCTAAAACACTCAAGTAACTATAGAGCTCACTATCCTAGTGTCTATTTTTCAATTGTTAACAGAGGTATATTAAATTCAGAACAGAAAAATTAGAAAAATCAAGAATCAAGTCAATTTTTATAATCTTTATAAAATGATTAGCCATCTGTTAATTCTTTCCCCCTTCTTCCTTGCAGAAATGGACCTCCTCCCTCACAGAAGCACACAGTCTTAGCTATTCAGCTAAGGATTACAATTCCTTTGCAGCAGTGATGGGATCTGGACAACAACCGAGGGCAAATCGACATGAGCAACTCTCAGATCACACTTCTATCACAAAGCTCTTCTTTCCTTTCCCCCTTCTGCTGGCTGATGGAGAAATGCAACCCACACGCAGCGATGCATTCTGGGGTGATATTGAGGAGCAGGGCTGCCTACCTTCCTTCTCACCCTCCTGTCCTTGAACTGTTTACGCGAGAGATAACTTTCCGTTACATTTGAGAGACTTGGTCTCTGTCAGAGCATCATAGTCTAAGCTCTAATACTGGCGTTGGTGCACAACCTTGGGATTTTTTGCTGGAACTTGTCAGCTATATCAACAAGCTCAGTGGGCGTGTATATTCTCTCAGCATGAATGATCCCTGAATTGGGGGCTGCTCCACTGGCTGGGGTTACAGTTGCTTTCCTTTGTATTAGGAGTCAGACAACATGGGATGCTCCCTCCGCTTCACTGTCAATCGCCACCACATCCTTTCCATCACTCTCCTCACAGTTCCAGGGATTCCACCTCTTAGCAGCCCAATCAGATTGTGCCACAGTCAAGGCCTTGTCATATGCAGTTGGACCTTAACCCTTGGCATAAGCAGCAGGCTAAGGTCACCCCCCAAATGATTATCCCGCTCTTGCGCCTTGTCTGCCAGCCAGGAAGCTTGCAGAGTGGCAGACACCCGCAAAGCCTCTTCTCTCACCTTTCGACGTCAGGCGGGGCTGGTGGCCAGCGAAGTGCCCACAGGAGAGGCCAGCCCGCTGCGCCCCCTGCGCTTCCCCTTCAGGCCCCAGCGCGCTCTGCGCACTTCCTCCAACCAGCGCCGCGCAGCCCGCGCCTTCGGGGCGCCCCAGCTCACGCGGGGCCCACAGGCGTCCGCGCTACAAGCCCTCCCTCCCCGCCCGGCGCATAGAGGCCTGACGGGCAACTTGGGGGTTCCCCTAAGATGCCTCCTGCCCTAGGCCCATTTGTTCCGTCTCCTGACTCAGCAACTGTTCCACCACCCGGTGAGTTCCAGGCGGAAGGTCGGAACCGCCCTGCCCGGAGGGCAAGGAGAGAAACAAGCGAGAGGCAGTCACGCCAGACTGGTAGGGTGGCAGGTCGAATAAGCAGGGGAACCTACCGAGGCTTGTCCGGGGCCGCCGCAAGGGGAGTGCGTTTCCATCCCCGCCTGCAAGACTGTTGAGTTTATACAGGGTCGCTCACGGGGTGCCAGTCACGTACACAGCGCGGACCATTTCCGTAGCGCTGGACTCTCTCAAGGTTGCGCCCTTGAAGTGGTTCCGGCTACAGGGATAGTGAGCGGAACACACGTTCGTTCCGAGGCCAGGAGAGGGAGGGAAAAGCCTCTCAGTTGCCCCTTCCCCCCGGGGCCAGCTCGCAGGTCAACCAGAGGTCACGTTCCCCCGTTGACCTCTTCCAGCTACTAGACATTTGGTGCTGCCCCACCTGAAACTATGTGGCAATGTTGTTTTGATAAGATCAGAAAGATGGTGACTTCTGTCGTGCCGCAATAAAAATTTGGCAAAACCGTTACCCATGATTCTTGGCAGACAGACCCTTTCCACACTAAGACTATGGCTCTAGGAGACATGTTTGGAAAATGTCAGTGTTGGTGCGGTGCGCTGCGCATGCCGTGTAACAAGGGACTGAAAGGAGAGAATTCAAGCAAGAATTAACCGTGGTACGTTTCACAAGCAGAGAAGGAAAGAAAGTTCTGCTAAGGGGCACCTGGGTGGGTCAGTCAGTTAAGCTTCCAACTCTTGATTTCTGCTCAGGTCAATGTCTCAGGGTTGAGTTCCAAGTCCTAAGAAGGGCTCCATACTGCCAATGTAGAGCCTGCTTGGAATTCTCTCTCTCTCTCTCTCTCTCTCTCTCTTCCTCTCTCTCCTTGCCCCTTACACTCTCTCTCTCAAAATAAATATACAAGAAAAGAGAAAAGAAAAGAAAATTCTGCTAAAGGAAACTCTCAGCCCGTTTGCTGACAGTGCAGAATTTGGGGGTAGGACAGAACTGGAAAAACCAACTGCTCTATTCCCCAAACAAATAAGATGACTCTACACAGCCTTTCTCCAGAAGCTTGGCTTAGGTATTCTCAAATGTGACTCAGTCAGTGAGAAAAGCAGATTGAGGATTGCCTTCTCACCAATGCCTATTGTTTCAAATGGCCTCAAGGTCACAAACAGTAAATTGAGGGGAACACGGATGGTCAAGAGCAGCAACCAACAAACAAATTAGAGTCTATACATCAACAAGACAGGAAGAGAGCTTTGAGCATGGTGGTTCTCAAATGAAACTTACTGGGAGCACTTAACTAAAAGTCTGCCTATAAGAGACAAGTTGGCATTACAAGTAAGCCTCCCTGGAGCAACAAAGCTTTCACAGCTTGCTCTCTTAGAGATCCAGCTAGGAAACCTGGGGACTGTTTTATGGGTCAGTACGTTAACCCCTAAAGCCTTTGCCCCTTGTGGCATCCTTCTTTATCAATGCAATTCCCTTAAAATCTTAGTCAGAAATAAAAAGGCAAATATGGGAACCATAGAAACAATGAGCTACAGAATTTCACCATTGCTATGGATCAGTGATGTCTACGTATTTCCCCATCTTCCATTTTCCGAACAGAAAAAATTGTATTAGGCTATTTTGATCCTACTCTACCATTCTTTATTGGGTGTGGCATAGGAAGTAGAAAAGTGATATTTTTCTAGGTCATGGGGGATCCAGGAGCCACTTCTAAGCCTGTCGGAACATCAACATATCTCTCAGAGATCCTGGACTTTGAGTTGGATGCAGTTTAGTGGATGAGACTTCAGTCTTTGTTACTCGGGGCAAGATGATGTTGTCTCTGTGGGAAGAAGGGTGCACAAGGCAGATTGGGTGGTCATAGCAGTAGATTTGGGTAAGTACTATTCTCCTATTTCTTTTTAACAGTAGAAACTTCCCTTGTGTTTTAGCTAGGCATGGGGTTGCTTGGCTACAGACTATATTTTCCAGCTTAATTTACATCCATTTCCTTTATTCCTATAAATTTAAAGTTTATTTATTGCACTTAAATATAGATTAAGATACCATTCTCAAAGGGCCATCAAAGTAGACTGATTAATATATGAGGCTGTCTATTAGGAATGGTGGAATGAAGAGTTTAAAAATTAGTTTAAAAATTAGTTCAGCCTGAAGAACTCAGGCTGAAATAGTGTCAACAGGCAAAAAAAGACCATTATTTATCTGACAATATTCAACAAGTTCTTTAGATAAGCCTTCATTTAATTTCTCTGTGAAGCAGTCACTTTAGTAATAATTGCATTGGCCTTGATAAATGTAAGAACTGGTCTTTCTGTGTAAACAATAGTCACTTAGAGATCTAAAAATATGTGACTTTCTCAGCATATCTAAACTTTTATTAGACTTGGCTTACTGTGCATGTGTGCATATATGTGTTTATTTATTTTAGGATTATATATGTGTATACACATACACACACACACACATTAGGGTTGTAAATGTTTTTTTGAAAGGCAGCAAAATTTTAGCTTGAAAAGATAAGTTCATATATATAAAATAGTTGATACCTCAATTAAAATAAGCAGTTATTAGAAAAGAAGGAAAGGCTGTTTGAAATAGATTCATGAGAACTGGCCCAACAATTAATATCATATGCTTTGCTCATAATTTTCCTTTTTGGAAAACAATGAATAAACATAATGTCGTGTCACAATTAAGTACAGAAAATCATGAAAGTAACATTTATTGTTGCCACTAAAACAACATTAAGTACTTTGGAGGAAGAACAAAGAAGCTGAGGAGATCCCGACTGCACAGTTCAGATGGTAGTATTGTTCAAAACATCTCCAGTACAAAGACTGGGTGGTCTGAGGCTCATGCCTCTACAATGCTGAAAGAGCTAACCAGTGTTATGTATTCAGTATGAGAGGAGATTAACCGTTTACTTAAAAAAAAAAAAAAAAAAAAAGAACTATATGGACTGTTTTAAAAATGTCTGACATAACAGTTAAGAATTTTAAAAATCATAAGGTTGCAGCTAAATAGAAAGAACAACACTTTTACAAAGACATAATTTTCACAAGGCAAATACATTTTTATCATCTTTTACGTATAATGTGTTCTAATGCTCCATAAATCCAGATGGAATATGGAAGTGTTTGGTGATTCTGATTTTACTAAAGCAATTGTTTCATGAACAAAGAAAATAACTCAGGATTACAAGGATGGTAAACTATTAAGGAGATCTGTGGTTGGAAAATCCATTTTATTAAATATCACATCAGATTTATTCCTTTACAGGACTTCTGGATAGAATATGAAGGACAGCATTTCTAAACTGATTGAGTATTAAATAATTCAAAACTCAAGAGTTGTGATCAAACAGATCTGTAGGCATATGTAAGTACCACTGAGGTGAAAGTGCCAACTACAGCAATTAGACTGAAAATTAATGTCTGGAGGTAATCAATGGAGGAACTGGCCACGGGTCTTCACATCTGCATCATCTTTGTTTATTGCCGTTGCTGGGTATCACAGAAAAACCAACTCATTTTTCAAAGGCAAAGAAGAGATGTTTCCCTCAATTTAGGCATTCCTAAATTAAATTGGAATCTATAGGAAGTGATTCTGTGCTCAGATCTTAGGCTGATTTTTATTAATGTTGCTGGCCAGTAATGAAGATAAATGGTAGGCATATTCCACTTAAGTCGGAAACTACAAATGCAAGGTTGGGACAATTGGGAGTGATTAATTATATTCTCTCTGCAAGGGTTCATGGGGGACTGGGGTTACCTCTTCTTCTGATGGTGTCTCTTTCCCTGACACTAGCAGCACTGATATAGGAATTGGATATTTGACATTCTCTTCAGTATCCAAATGTGACTTAGAGGGATCATAATGAATGTTTCAAGGTGAGCCCATCTTGGACATGTTCCTTACATTCCTTACTGTGTATTATTCCCACTGGTAATTAAAATCCCAACAGTACCCGTTTTGGCAGTCATTAGTAGGATACAAGAACCTTCATTAACTTCTCATAAAGATAATTTTTCTGGATAGCTGAGGGGTTAAAGAGAAAAACCTGTTTTGTTTCAACTTAAGTGGCTAAAAAAAAAATCTTTGCAAAACGTATTAGTCTACTTTACAGCCTTGCTAAATAGGTATTGTAAAGATAATTTAATATTTCTTTTATGATTGATGACTTTACAGTGCCTTGGGGTCAGTATGAATTGTTGTTGAGGTAATAAGCTGTAGTATATTGAACTCTAAATCTGAACTGACCAGATATTGGTTTATTTCATTGTGCTTTGCTTCTTTCTTCCTTACACAGAGTACAGAAAAGAAATTCACCGGTGTTAGGATTCCAGTTAGAGCTTTTTATTATAAATGTGTGTCACATACTGTGTTTCTTAGGACAGGTGTGGCATGTAAAATATTGAAAGTTTTCAATGTTCCTGCCGTACATCCTGAAATGGATGCACCCACGAAGCTGTTACTGAATGTGGGACGCTACTCCCTGCCCCACTCAGTTTATAGGTACCTCTGTGCTTTTGTATCCTCCCAAATTGCCATGATTCCAATCAGTGATGAAATAAGCACAATTGTAATTGAACTGTCAGTATTGCTAATGGTTCCATGGTCAAATTGGCAAGCATGACCGTTGTGCTCTGAATTCTGATCTTTTAATCTTTTAATAAGGAGATAATAATAATGATTTACTGTCAAATTATGCTATCAATATAAAATACCATCCTCTAGAACAGTGGTGTCCCAATCCAAATATGCATATCTATACAAGCTTTCTCACCTTCTTTGGGAAAGACTGTAGAAACATAGCACGTAAGACTGCTCCTAAAGCTTCTTCTTCAATGGTGTAGGAAGCAGCTGTTTCTGTTTTTGTTTTAGGATCTTTTCATTTTGTTCGGACAAAGGAACCACAACTCTAAAAAATTCTTGGGGAACAAATATAGAAACTACATAATGGAATAAGGACTCCTCAAGAATA